AGAGTCCAAAAGATTGGTTTCAAACAGTTGGCGCCTGTTTTCGGTAAGCTTTGCTCCCCTACCCAGGCGTGCGAGAGTAAGCTCGCCAAGCAATGGAGACAGACAAGGGAGGCCCAACAACATGGCCTTTCCAGTGAGGGAAGGCAAGGCGTGCTGAAAAATCCTGGCTCAGGCAACAAACCCTTCAAGGCAATTGCCTGCAAAAAGGGTGAGAAGGGTCCAGCGCAAGCGCGACTGAGCTTCAACAAGACCTCATCAGTTCTGAGTCCCTGAAGCACAGTAAGGGGAGCGTAGCGTCCTGGAAGGCGTCCTTCCAGGTAGGGGCTTTAGCCACGGGCTCAACGAGGCCAGGAACGGGTCAACCCGTTTGGCAAACAGTAGCTCCCTTAGGGACTGCTAGCAGGAGTCCTGCCAAGTCTGATAATTAAGTGCATGGAGCCTCTGGCAGCGGAAAGCAACGAGCGAGAAACTTTACACCCAATTTTAAAGCCTACCTATAGTCTCCATTGTAGTTCCTTTTTTTTTGGTTTAACCATATAATATACTATGGATTTTATAAGGTATCCCCAAAAAGGAACTACACTGGAGACTGTAGGTAAGCTTGAAAGCAAAGCCCCAAAGCCACAACCGAGGATGCGACGCTGCAAGACCTGCGAAAGGAGGTCGAGACGTCAAGCACCGTTGGTCAGCTCCTTCCTTAGCTTGATGTGGTTTAGGCTTTGAGCTTTAGGAGTAAGTAGGAACTTTGAGTGGATGACATTGGACTACGCCCTGTCTGAGGCAGTTTTCAGACTTGCGGCGTTTAGAGGCTTAGTTACAAGCTCATTATTCAAGGTCCTGTTGCCAGGTGATTCTGCAGATTTCCCAGACGTCTGCCAACTCTAGTCTTGCAAAGCCGCCATGCACAACTTCCTGAAGGGCGTTACCCCAAAGCCCCCCAAAACCATGAAGCCTTGGTACCCGAAAGGCCAACCCTGAAAGCCCTGTAAGCTCGGAATCCCTGAGCCCCTACAAAAAACCAAATAAAAGACCCGAATCTCCCAGTCATAAATCCGCAAAAGCCCCAAGCCTCAGGTAGTTTTTTGGGGGAGTTGAAAGGGGGGGACCCTTCCGAACCCTGCTTCTGGCTCTCTTAATCGGGACCTTATTGAGAGGGTTCTATATTTTCAAGGGCTCCCCATAATCCTAACTCCCAAAGCCCGAAGTGCTACTTCTTTCAACTCGGAGTACCTCCGAACCCATCGCCGAGGGGCCCTTACAGTTCATGGTTTAGCGACACAGTAGGGCTTTAGGGCATGGGGTTAAGTAGTAATGTAGACCCTGGAGCCAGAATCCCCTTCTATCAGAAGGGATCAGAAGAGGGGCTCAAAACTCGGGCGCTGAAAGGAAGAAGGGGAGGTTATTAGCCATGTGTCTACGTTAGGCCAGAAATCAATCTGCGCATAAACCGCAAACTCTAAACTTTCAAACCTTCAATTTTCAGGTGCGCCTTCCGCCTACTTTTTAACGGCACGCCTCTGGGTTGGACAGCCAGCGCCGCACTGACATTGGCGGAGCTGGGCATCACGGACGGCAGCGTGTTGATCCTCATGAAGGAGAGTGCTTTCGCATGCAGGTTCGAGGTTAGGTGAAGAGCGGGAGCGGGGTTTGGGAAAAGGGTCCTTTTTATAAGGGTGCCGTACTATATTGGGGGCCTAAAAAGGGGTCCTGATTTAGAGAACTACCCATATGGGGCTTAGGACTTGGGGATGAGTGAGCCTGGATTTACTGTGCAGCGAAGCAGAAATTTAAGCGACCTCATACGAGGACTTCCCACCGTTTCGAGCTTGTTAGAGTCAGGTATTTTTTGGTTTGTAGTTTCAAACATATCGCGCATAGGGCAGAGCTCTATATCACCCGCACGAGTTCCCAGTATTAAGTGTGTCATTGGCACCTCTATACTAGGTACGGCTTTTGGATTTTGTGGATGTACACGATCTGACCTGCCTGCCTGCACACGTGCGTGCTGACATGGGTACATGCATAGGAACATTCATACGTGCATACATACACACATACATACACGCACATATGCAGACTCACCGGCATAATCCGGTGGCATGCAAGCATACTTACTTGCATGCATGCATACATACATA